ATATAGCTTGCTCCAACAACACTTAAATGATCCGCAAATGGAATTATCAGAAAATAAATCAATAAGTCAATTTGTGATAATTGACTGCTATATTGTTTTAACCTAAGTAAATAAATAAATTAAAATCATTTGCTACTCTGTCACATCTATTCTCATTTACATAAATAAGTTCTCAACTCTGGCACCTAAAATACATTGCATTAAATTTTATTTTGCACTTAGGTCTCATTGTGGTAATAAACATGTCTTCCCTGTCATCAATAAAACTTATAAAAAATTATTTGCTAATATGTTTTGAAGTTTACATGGAATTAGGTAGGGCCTACACATGTAAAATTTGGTAAGAGTGAAGAGAATTAAGAAAATTTAAATGGGAAAATAGGAATGGGTCTTTGAAAGTACAGTGTTTAATCCTAAGACAAAGAATATTGGCTTTGTATTAGACAATATCACATATACTGCTTCAGTGTCTGCATTAATAAGCAAAATATTGCAGTATTTAGAATAACTGGAGGAGGAAATGCAGTGTTTTCTTCCCTTTAGGGGGATGCCCAGATCAACCTTGGCCCCTGTGCATAGGGAGGAGAAGAAAAGAAAGAGTGAAGGGGAGGGGCAGAAGAGACAGATGAGCAGCAAAGGGTCCCAGGCCAGGGGATTAAGGTACAAAGGTGAGGGACTGGAGCAATAGCACAGCGTGTGGGGCGTTTGTCTTGCATGCGGCAGACCCAGGTTTGATTCCCAGCATCCCATATGGTCTCCTGAGCACTGCCAGGGGTAATTCCTGAGAGCAGAGCCAGGAGTAACCCCTGTGCACCGCCGGGTGTGACCCAAAAAGAAAAAAAAAAGGTACAAAGGTGGTGTTAAGGAAGGGTAGAGCCAAATAGCCAAACCACAGAATCAATAACATTGAAATCAGGAGACCCAAACTGTTAACAACTGAACTGAGAAAGGTGCCCGTCAAGAAGGTGGACTGGACAGGGGTGAGGGGAGTATGGGTGGGAACCTTGGAACATTGACACTAACATCCTTCCACCAATGGGATCAGAGCTGCAGTATTGTATGACTAAAACTCAACTAAGAATAACTTTGTAACTCAGGGTGCTTTAATAAAACCTAAATAATAAAAAAAAAGAAATATTTTATCAAATCAGGGGACACATCCAACAGTGCTCAAGCAGGGCTTAGTCCTGGCTCTGTGCTGGACCTGGTGGGGGGGGGGGGACCATATGAGGTTCCTGGAATCAAACCGGGGTGGCCGCATAGAAGGCAAATGCTCTACCCATTGTACTATCACTCTGGCCTCAGACTAAATTCCTGACTTACAAATTTGCACTTAAGATTCCTCCATGTCAAGGAAAGAGAGGGAGGGAGGGAGGGAGGGAAGAGGGAGGGAGATGGAGGGGGAGAGGAGAGAGAGAGAGAGAGAGAGAGAGAGAGAGAGAGAGAGAGAGAGAGAGAGAGAAGAGAGAGACTGCCATAGAGGCAAGCTGGGGGGGAGGGAAATTTGGGACATTTAATAAATATAAATTGAAAAATTGAAAAACAAAATTTCTCTATGTCTTCTTTTTTTTTTTCGTGTGGAGGTGGGGTGCCACATGCAGTGGTGCTTAAGTCTTTCTTCTGGCTCCTGTGAATCCTGAATAGGGGTCACTTCTGGTAGTGCCAGGGATTGAACTGGTGTTGGCCACACGCACGACAAATTCCTTGACCCTCTGTAATATCTCTGTGTCTCCAAGGCCTCGTCTAATTGTTTCCATTACCTTTGTCACTGTCACTGTCCTCCCATTGTTCATTGATTTGCTCACGTCTCTATTTTTTTTTTGAGACTTGTTGTGACTGTGTTTTGCATATCGAATCCGTCACAGGGTAGCTTGCCAGGGTCTGCCGTGGGGGCACGATACTCTAGGTAGCTTACCAGGCTCTCCGAGAGGGGCGGAGGAATCGAACCCGGCTCGGCCGGGCTGGCTGCGTGCAAGGCAAACGCCCTACCACTGTGCTATGGCTCCAGCCATTACCTTACCTTAGTATTTGGTTGTTCGAGGTTTCTAAGCATATGTTTATTACTAGAAGTTTCCTTCCCATAACTCCTCCTACATCCCGTAAGTTTTGACACGTTGCTATGTTTCTATTTTGTTTATCTCAAGATGTTATTTTGGTGTATCTTCTTTTTGCTTTTATTTCTTCTTTGACCCATACATAGGAGGTTAAGGATGTGTAGTTTTCATTTACAAATACTTGTGAATTTTACAGTTTTCCTCATGGTACTTATTTCTAGTTTTGTCAGCCAAGTGATAGAAAAGACACAAAATATTCCAAAATTCCTAAGACTTACAATCTGAGTAACACATGGCCAACAGTAGAGAGCCTTGTATTTGCTCTTGAGAAGATCATTCTACAGCTCTGAGGTAAAGTGTTCTACGTGTTTGTTAGGTCCTTTTGATTTAAAGTGCAGGGAAATTCTGCTATTTCCTTACACACTGAAGAATTCAGACTACTCACTACCCAAACATGGGCAACGCAGTTTAAAGTATGCAGAGCTCTTGAAGAGACGTTCGTCCAGAACAGATATGCCAGTGGTCAGAGGCAAAGGAAAAGATGCTGGGCATCACTAGCGTCCAGAGAAAGGTCCCTCAGAACCACCCAGAGTGGCTGCCTCACGCGCACACTACCAAGGCTATATCAGAAGGAAAACCAAAGGAAACCAAAGGAAAATGACCTTCCGGATGAGGCTGGGCTCCAGACGCGGGGAAGAGAGTGAGCCCGCGAACACGGCTGCCGGGAAATGCGCGGGCCTGCTCTCCCCTCGCCAGGGCTAAACCGAGACACCAACGGACTCCCGAGCGCCCACGCCCCCCGCCCCCAACGCCACTCCGAGGCGGACGCGACCCAGGAGCGAAGATCAAGGGCGTAAACAGAACCCTGCACACAGCCGTGCGGGACAGCACGATCCTCCGTGACCGTGAGGGGGAAACTGTCCGCCGTCTGCCAGCAGCTGGAGGGCCGGACGCTGGACACGGCCTCGGCCTGCTGTTCCTGCCACCGTGCGGTGCGGCGCGGCGCGGCGCGGTGCGGTTCGGCGCGGTGCGGTGCAGTGCGGTTCGGCGGGCGTAGGCGTGAGTCGCCGAGTTTGCCTCCCCGCGAGGCAAAGCTCTGGGGGCGACGCGGAGCCAAAGGGAGGCGGCGGGGACGCGCGTGTGAGGGGGAGCGCAGGGGCGGCTGCGGGGAGCACGGGGGTGGGGGGGGGTGGAGACGACCGGGGCTGCTTTCCGGGGAGGTGGGCGCCCGCGAGGGCCTCCGCAGCAGGGCCAGTGCGCGTGGGGCGAGCCGCCGGAGCCCGGCTCTCCTTTCTTGGGGGGCCCTGGGCGTCCGGGGACAAGCGGGCGGGAGTGGGCGCGGGCTCGTGGGCAGGGGACGCGGACCCAGGCCGTTGGCGCCGTGGGCCGGTGGGAAACCCAGCTTCCGCCCCGTTTGAGCGACGGTCGGTCGGTCGGTCGGTCGGTCCGTCGGTCGCCGGGTGCCCTCCCGGAACCGTGAGAGACAGACAGCTGTTGCCCGGCCAGTGGTCGCCAAGTGCCCCGCCACCAGGACACACTGTGCTCCACCCCACACCAAGAGACACGTGTGACACACCAAGAGACTCACTGGCTGCTGAGCGAGTGAGGGCCGAGGGTGTTCACCAGGACACAGGCATCTCCACCCAAGTACTCGCCAACATCAGACCTTGGCATCCTGAGCAGCGGGTGAGACGAGACTGGGATCAGGCCTTCCCAGCGTGCCTCATCGAGTCTACTGCCGTGTACATGGCCGCCGTGATCGAGTACCTGACGTCCACGGTGCTGGATCTGGCAAGCAAGGAGGCCCACAACAGGGGCTGCAGGCGCATTACCCCCGAGTTCCTCGACATGGCCATCCACAATAATTCGCTGCTCTGCGACCTCCTGGGCCCCACCACCATCTCCCAGGTGTCCCCCGGCTGCTAGGAGCCGCTCGGCCTTCCCCGCACCCGCGCCCGGGGCCTGGTCGCCCTCTACGCCGGCGCCCCTGGAAAGTTTGCTGAAGCCAATACAGTGCTGAAAGAAGCCTCTGTGTGTGCGCTGCGGTCACTCTGCGAGCCGACAGGTGGGGGGGCTCCCCGCTGGGACGGCCGGGAATTCCCTGGGCTGCAGGGACTGGCGGGTGGTCGGGCTCCCTAGGCCGCGGCTGCGGGTGCTCAGGTTCCCCGGGCCGGGCCGTGGGGGACGGGGTGCGGGTGGGGGTGGGGGGCGGGGCGGAGAATGGGCTGCTGGCTGGGGGCGTGGGCTGGGCACCACGAGGCGCAGGGAGGTTCCGGGCCCGGGCCGGGCACCACGAGGCGCAGGGAGGGTCGGGGCCCGGGCTGCGGGTGAGGATGCGGGAGAGGGTGCGCTGCCTAGACTGGAGCGTGGGCGAGAGCCTCAGGGGCCCGGCGCCCAGAGCCCCGCACGCGGTGCTCATCGGTGTGCGGCTGGGGGCCTGGCCGGGCCTTCGAGGCCTTCGAGGCGCGCGGAACGCCAGTGCGGGGCGCAGGGCGGCACCCGGGGGCTGGGGGGGGGGGCTGTGTGGCAGACGGCGAGGCGCGCTGCGGGGCAGGCGTGAGGCAGCGGGCCGGGTCGGAGTGACAGTGCGGCGGGGCCCGAGGAGACAGCAGCGGCCCTCCGTCACCGCGGAAGGCGGCTGCGTCCCGACGGCGCCGGGCTTCGGCCCAGGCCAGGCGCGCGGAACTCCCTCCACGCCACGCCGCGCCGCGCTCTCCAGCCCCTTCCGGGGCGCCGGGCCCCGCGCGGGGGGAGGCGGGCGGGATCTCGCGAGCCCCCGCGGGCCGGCCGCCCGGGCCCGACCCGCCTCGCGCCCGCTACCGGCCTATCAGCGCGGCGAGTCGGCCGGCGGGGGCGGGCCCTCGGGCGCGGGCTCTCGGGAGTGGCCGGCCCGCGCGTCCGTCAGGCGCGCATCCGGGCCAGAGGGCACGGCCGGCAGCCCGGAAGAGGGCGGCGGCCAACATGGCGGCGTCCGCGGCCGGCCTGAGCGGCCTGGGGGGCGGCGCCGGCGGCGGCGGCGGCGGCGGCCTGGGCGGCGGCGCGGGCGGCGGCGGCGGCCTGGGCGGCGGCGCCGGCGCGGTGCCCGAGGCCGGGGACTTCCTGGCCCGCTACCGCCAGGTGTCCAACAAGCTGAAGAAGCGGTTCCTGCGGAAGCCGAACGTGGCCGAGGCCGGCGAGCAGTTCGCGCAGCTGGGCCGCGAGCTGCGCGCCCAGGAGTGCCTGCCCTACGCGGCCTGGTGCCAGCTGGCCGTGGCGCGCTGCCAGCAGGCGCTCTTCCACGGCCCCGGGGAGGCGCTGGCGCTCACCGAGGCCGCCCGCCTCTTCCTGCGGCAGGAGCGCGACGCGCGCGAGCGCCTCGTCTGCCCCGCCGCCTACGGCGAGCCGCTGCAGGCCGCCGCCAGCGCCCTGGGCGCCGCCGTGCGCCTGCACGTCGAGCTGGGCCAGCCGGCCGCCGCCGCCGCCCTGTGCCTCGAGCTGGCCGCCGCCCTGCGCGACCTGGGCCAGCCGGCCGCCGCCGCCGGCCACTACGAGCGCGCCGCGCACATGCAGCTGCCGCTGCTGCCCCTGGCCGCGCTGCAGGCGCTCGGCGACGCCGCGTCCTGCCTGCTGCTGGCGCGCGACTACACCCGCGCCCTGGCCGTCTTCACGCGCATGCAGCTCCTGGCGCGGGAGCACGGCAGCCGCCCGGGGCCGCCGCCGCCGCCGCCGCCCCCTGCCACCGCCGCCGCCGCCGCCGCCGGCCCCGCGGCCCCGCCCGGCCCCAGCGCGGGCCCGGCCGCCTCCTCCTCGCAGCCGCCCCCGCCGCCGCCCGCCGCCGCCGCCGCCGCCGCCGCCGCCGCTTCCTCCTCCTCGGCCACGGGCACGGCCGCCACCGCCGCCGCCGCGCCGTCGCCCGCCCTGCTGGGCGCCTTCTCCGACGTGCTGGTCCGCTGCGAGGTGTCCCGCGTGCTGCTGCTGCTGCTCCTGCAGCCGCCGCCCGCCAAGCTCCTGCCGGAACACGCGCGCACCCTGGAGAAATACTCCTGGGAGGCGTTCGACGGGCACGGGCAGGAGAGCGGCGGCCCGCTGCCCGAAGAGCTCTTCCTGCTGCTCCAGTCCCTGGTCATGGCCACCCACGAGAAGGACACCGAGGCCGTCAAGTCGCTGCAGGCCGACATGTGGCCTCTGCTGAGTGCCGAGCAGAACCACCTCCTCCACCTCCTGCTGCAGGAGACCGTCTCCCCCTCGGGCCAGGGCATCTGAAGAACCGGCCTCCGCCGAAAGAACCCCCGTCCCCCCACCCCACCCCGGGCCGGGGAATCTGACAGCCGGCCACCGAAACACCCCCCCCACCACCACCACCCACCCCCTGCCTGCCGCGTGCCTCTCCCCAAACCCGTGCGCGCGGGCCTCCTTCCCTCGCTCTCTCCTGGCGGCTCCCTCGGGCCAGGGCATTTCTCAACCGGCCACCAAAACGGCCCCGCCTGCCTGCCCCGTGCCCCTCGCCAAATCCGCCTGGGCGTCCCTTCCACCCTCCCGGTGGCTCCCTCCCTCGGGCCAGGGCATCTGACAACCCCCCCTCCCCCGTGCCCTTCACCAAACCCGCCTGGGCCTGCCGCCCGCCCTCTCTCCCTCCCGGCTAGCCCCTCTCCGTTGAGGGGGGCAGGGCAGTAGGGGACTCGGGGGCCGGTGCTCAGACTTCGGTCGTCTTGCCCCCTCCCCATGCCCCTGCTCCCGACCTCTCTTGCAGCCCGAGGAATCGAGAGCTCCTGCAAGTGGCCACTCTCCCAGAGTCTTCTTTCGCCGCGGGTACAAGGGAAAGCTGCGGCCGAGAGCGAGCGAGCGAGCGTGCGCGCGCGCGCACGCCGAGGCTCCTTCCACGGGCTCCGGCAGTGCAAAAAGCAAGAGAGAGCCGCCTCGTCCCCCTCTTCTTCCGCACGTCCGTCCCCCTTCCCGCCCCCCACCCTCGTCCCTCTGTCTGTGTTCCATGGCGAGGCCCTCCGTTGGTCCCGCTCTGTTCAAATACAACCTGATTTTACTGGGTGGCCGTTCTGACTTCTCAGCCTGTTTCCTCTCTCCTGGCGCTTCCCCAACGCGCGCAGTCTTTCGCCGGCCTCTTTCCCTAGCCCCGAATCCTCGGGTTGCTTACGTCGTGGCAGCCTCAGCCCTAAGGACCGAGCAAGCCGTCCTGAGACTCTTGTTGCCTTAGCTGGACTTCCTCTGCAAGACGGCCACAGCTCATCTGCTGCTGGTCGGGAGGCAGGAAGCGGAACCCATTCCCGTTCAGCTCTCAGATGCAGTCTTTCGTTTAAAAGCCACGAACAGCAAGCTCTGAACGCGGGCTGTGCCTCTGCAGAGATGATTTGCCCTGTCCTCTTTTACTCAGCTGCACTGCAGAGGGCGTCGGCTGTCAAAGGGGCTGGGGTGGGGGTGGGGGCCATGTATCGGTGTCAGACCATAAAGGAACTGGCCCCCGGGACTGAGGACGTTGGGAAACTCCAAACCCTGTTGGGTAGTTGAGGAGGCTGGACACCCCAGAAAGAGGTGCAGTTAAAGGTCAAAACCAGTGTAAAAGCTGAATTTGCTCTAGTTGCAAGCACGATGAGGCTCGCCAACTACCAGCTTTACTCAGTCAGACTCAACTAAACTCGAGGAACGCAGATAGGGTCACCCTACCACCTAAAGAACCACTTAAAATGTCCACCTCACCTACAAAAATAACCTTCGCAGAAACATCCAGGGTGAGGTTGGACCAAATAGTTGGGTATCATGATTTAGCCAACTTGGCACCGAATATTGATCATCCTAAGTGCACCCTTTATGAACTCCGCCATATGCTTGAAGCAGACTTCACACTCCAAATAAAAGATAGGCAAAGTACCTGCATTGATGTAACAGGACACAACTCTCCTCTGTACTACCCTAGTCAGGAGTCCTTCCCCAGTAGAGGATGCACGTTCCTTGGGTAATGTTTACTCTTCTGGCTATCCCCAAACTTAAGTAGAACCAGGTAAAGGGAACCATCTTTAGATAATGCTGAGTTGGTGCCAATTACAGTCCTTGTTTCTGATCATAGCTGGTATTCATAATTACTTTCTACCATCTGTTCCATTTGTCCTCTGCAAGCCCCTCTCCTGGTTGTGGTTCTTTAGGTGGTAGGGTGACCCTATCTGCGTTCCTCGAGTTTACTGACTGTTAGTGGACCTGCCTGAATTGGCCGATGTAGCAGTATTTAATTTATATAAATTGCGAGCCACGGCAAGTAATGGGAAGAGATCCCCTGAGAGCTTTCTACAGCTCGGATATGGGCTACCATCCGAGCCTTCATCCCTTGGTGTGGGGCATCTGTCCCATTTCCACTCGGTGGTCAGCATCTATCACCCCAACCAGCACAGGAACCCTCCCCTCTGTGGATTCAGGGGCATGAGGAGCCCCTGGCAGACTCCCAGCGCAAGAGAACCATGGTTATATGCCCTGGCGGAAGCACCTTTCCTCTGGAACGAAGACCTTGGGGCCAGCATAGCACCAGGTCTCGGGGACAGGAAGCCACCCTTTTGCTAAGTGGATCACTTGGGGTAATGGCCAAGGGTCTGGCTTACTCCCGTGCCCACACCATGATGGCTGGACCTCCTAGTGCCTGCCATCATCGAAGCAGCCTTGCGGTGAGCCCTGAGCCAGCCCTGCGAGGTGTGGGCCCTGGGTGATGCCATCACTGAGTCCTCAAAAGACTTCTTCCAGAGTCCCATCAAGACAGCAGCTTCACCACCCCAGGATGGAGGGAGACATGGTAAGGCCATGCCACTTCGTTCAGAAGCCTGTTGAGTGAACACTAGTGACTGTGGAAGGAGGCTGGCTGGTGTCCCCCTACCCCGCCCCTTGAAGTTCCTCCTTTCCACTTGATGAAAATGCCCCTCAGCAGGGGTCACCCTTGGGTGAGCATTGACATGGAACACAGATACCACGTTTGTTTCCCACTCAGAGAGGCCTATCAAACAACTTTCTTTAGCTGCTCTTGTCACCAATTTTCCAGTTGTGTTTCTTCAAAACTGCCAACCATCCAGCCAAAGCATGGACCATCATCCATGCATCTATATATGACCAGAGGCCTGGGCACCTCATCTTCCAACCAAAGTGAGCCACTAAATGTGCTTGTCAGTGTTCTGCCTATGAAGAGAATCTTCCTTCACCAGTGCCCTTCAGAGATGTGCCACACTGGGGCTGTAGAGCTCAGTGGTCCACGTGTGTAGGAGTGTCCCTGCATCTCGTGCGCAACCATCTGCAAATCAGGTCAAAGTCTCCTCTTGCTCTGTCAAGTGATCATAGAGGTGGCCTGCATGGCGCCACAGGTGCATGCTGGGAGAGAGAGTGGTGGAATGGCCATGGGAACTAAGGGCATCTAGGCCAGCTCTCCACTGAACTTACCTGTGCCTGCCTAGGTAGTGCGGGCCTCATCTTGTCTGCACCTTAACTTTCTTACACTGTGGGTCTTGAGCCCATACGTGGTCACATAACTGAATGTGGGGGTGGTAGCATTTTTAAAGACTTTTATGACTTATTATTAGTAAATGTCTGATTTCCACGCCTAGCTTATATACCTGGTTTGGGAGAGGAAGGGACCTGAGGGGGGAAAGCTGAAGAAGCCAAAGTCTATATACCACTTCCACCAGGGTGAACACCTGCAGTGTTCTTCACAAAGGGAAAGGTTTGCTGGGACAGAGAACGCCCAGTTCATGATGGGCAGGTCAAGTCACACAGTAGATTGGTGGACCACGGCTGAGTGATCATTCTCCACAAAGGCCCAGAAACCACCCAAAAGTGACTTCTCTAATGCAAAGTGGTCCTTGGGAAATGATGGCAGGGTTCTGCTCCAAAGTCCCAAGGATCTGTGTTCCATTTCACCTACAAGATTCTTGCCAGCTGCATTCTTGTGGGCCTGATGGACAGGGATGTAAAGATCAAGTCAGTTGCTGCACACCAGGAACCATGGGAGGTGTTTCTTTGTTCAAGCCAAAAACAAAACAAAACAAAACACAGCATCTCTTACAGGAGCTACACTGCAAGTCTCCACCTGGCTCCGCCTACAGGAATCCACTATCACTCTCCCGAACCTTGTCTCTTCTGCTCACAACAAGTACCAGAGCTGAATGAACAGATAGAGGGAATAACTACTCCCGCATTGTTCTAGTCCTTGACATTACCACTAGTCCCTGAAATCCCACCCACCTATTCCTATACGCAGTATTGTTCTTGGTTTACTATTTCCCTGGGTAGAAGCAATTCTAGTGGCTTCCATGTGGCCTTTCCCACCCAAATAGCGCTGGCTCTGCAGGTCAGGGACCTACCATTTTCTGAGTGTGTTCATTCTAATTATGCCTATCTGGGGAGAGAGTCACAGGACCGCTTCAAGTGAGACCAAACAGGCACTGTATTCAGGAATCCTGCACCTTGCTGTAGCCTCAAGCCAGTTGCTTTTCTTACGGCCTCCAAAGGAAAGGCTCAGCGACACATCCTTTGAGCACCATGTCCCAGAGGAATGCACACGGAGAGTTTTCAACTTGACAGAAGGAACTGGGCTTGAACCAGCTCGTACCAGGATGGAGCCCAGTGCTGACCCCTCACTGATGTTTTCTCTCATTCAAATACTAAAACCCACCCCCGGGCTGGAGATCCATCATGCTGGTAAGACATGGATCCCATGGAGATGAAGTGTGCTCTGTCCACTGAGCCGGTGCACCCTGGCTTCCTGTGTCTCCCCACCCCTGTATGCTCACCGGTCATTCCATTCCCACCTCTGCCCCTCTAAACTTTTTCCCTAGTCTTTGTTCCAAGTGCCAGCCAGGACTCAATGCCCTGTGCTGTCTCCCTTGTGCACAAGCCTACAAGCAATAAACTCAGCAGGAATCTCTCCTGGGCCTCCTTGTCTTTTCTACTATGCCACGAATCTACTATGCACCCATGGAGAGATGGGGAGCAAATAAAGCACCGTGAATCACCTACGTCCCAACTCTGACTGGTGAACCAGGGACTCAAGTGATATCTTGGGTCTTTTAGAATCAGTGTGAGTTCAGAGCCAATGTTGACGTTTTCTCCCATTCAAATACGAAAACTCATCCTCGGCCTGGGGATAGTCCCAAATGTCTGTTTATCTCCTTTCCCCTGACTTCAGATTACACCGATAAAAACTAAGTCTCTCTGGAGATGGCTGGGAGGAAGATTAGCAGCATACATGCATTTGGGGGAATACACCCATGTCCTTCCTCATGGAAGCCCTGCCTCTCCTTCATTCAAGGGGCTCTGAACCTGTAAACTGATTCAAGCCTGGGACTTGATATAGGAACTGTGACTCTCTGTTTCTGTGCTCCAAAGTAGACTTTTATTTTTTGGCTAGTACTAAAACTCTCATATGTTTACAGATGAGTAAGAGTTTAATAGGATTCTATTATAGGGACTGGCCTGTGTTTCCCCTTCCACACTCCTAGATTGTATCCCTAACAACCCCCAGTGTGACTACATTTGGAGAAGAAGATCTTTGAAAAAATAATGGAGGTCAAGTAAGGTCATAGGGTGAGACCCAAAGCTAACATTGATGGTTGTTCTTATAAGAAGAGGAAGAAAAAAATGAAGAAAAGGAAGACACTACACTACACTACACACACACATACACAAACAGAGAGAGAGAGAGAGAGAGAGAGAGAGAGAGAGAGAGAGGAAAGAGAGACCAGGTGCGGACATAGCCAGACAGCAGCCTTCTTCAAGCCAAGGAGAGCGTCCTCAGACCAAAGCAACCAAGCTCTCACCTTGGTTGTAGGCTTCTAGCCACCAGAATTGTGAGGAAATCCATCTCCGTTGTGTAAGCCATCCAATCTATAGGGATTTTGTCATAGTAGTCCTAGCTACATGACACAACTTCCTATCCCATGTCTAGAACATTGTGATCAACCAGCCACCATGGCTAGGCCTCTAAGCCAGACAATTTTTATTGCAACTTTGACTCTGCTACTAGTTACTGTGCTTTGCCACTAGGCCCCTGACACCTCAGGATA